GGAACAACAAGAAGAAATTATTTACTTTATTAGTGACATTGAGAAAGTGTGAGTTGTTTCATTTGTTATTTCAGACTTCTCTATATATTATTGATAATTATTGGTGAGGATTAACACTTATGAGTGGCAGGGCATCTACTTATGTTAAAAGTTACGAATATTTTATTAAATGTTATGAATGTTAAATTAAAAGTTATGTTGTGTATTCCACAATTTCTTTTAAACCACATTGCTTTGATTTTACTCATTTCTTTTTTCCTTTCAGTTTTCAATCTAAAATAGATTCAATGTTTTAAAATATATAGAGATATGGTAGCTAGTGAGTCCTATGTATGCTTGATCCAGTGAGAAACTTTTAGCATAAATTATATTACTTTAATGACATATAACTTAACTAATAACACAAAAACAAAAGCCACAAATGATCAAGCACTTGCTTGTAGGAACAACACAACTCCTAACCTTAAAAATATAACTTTTAACAGAAATGCAACATCTTCATCATAAAAGTTACTTATTTTAGCATAAGTTATATAACACTATTGAATTTGATGTTTTCAGCTAATGTCAGTTAAAAGTTATGTGTCTAGCGTTAGAAGTTATTACTTTGGATCTATTAGTTATAAACATATATCCATTTTATCTTTATTGCAGAAGATCAAAGAAAACATTGAAGCCTTAAACAAAGATGCCATTGGTGCTGACAATCAAGTTATTATTGAAGCTGATCGGCGGTGATGTACACAAGTTAACACTCAACACTAAAAAGAAGAAATTGACAACGACAGCACCACTCTGTTAAAAAGCAGAAATTTTGTTCATTGATTATATGTTTTTTTTTTCAAATAGAGTTGAATTTAATACCTTAAGTTTTTTAAACAGAGGGTACTCTTAGGTGTTAGTAGGAAGTATTTTGTAAAATTTTTTATAGAGATCGAAACTTTAATTATATCAATACTCATACTCATACTCAAGGAGAAATTGATAGAGGTAGGAGGTGATCGGGATGAGTCTAACAAGTCCAAGTCTGAAGTGAATCATGAGGAGGAAGACGAGAGCAGCGGAGAAGAGGAAGAAGATAACGAGTGAACATATGTTCTGGTGTGCCGATGATGTATTGATGAGTTCTTGTTGGCTTGTTGTTGTTGCTTGTAATTGTTGATTCCGTGAAGTATAATATTATGGAAAGTTGTTCAAGGAATTGTTGTTAAAATATGTAATTCATGGTAATAACTTATAGCTTTGGTAGCATTGGTGTCCACATGCTCTACTTGGTTAGTTGGGTCCGAGACTTGTCCTTCCCTACACACTGGGTTGTAAGTGTTGTTTGTAATTATTATGATTGTGTTATATGACGTCTTACCCTTTCAGAGTTTAACTTTTAATAGATTCTAAATAGATTTCAGTTCATGAATGCTTAACTTTATTTTGGTCAAAAAATGGAAAGTTACATATTTCTTTTACAGCCTATTAGCTCAACTGGAAGAGCATCGTGTGATTACACGAAAGATGTGAGTTCGAATCCCACATAGGCTATCTCAACAAGGTGGATTGATGATTTAATTTATTTCCCAAACTTTAATTCCATGTAGATGCTGCATTTACTTTAAGAGTAGAATCTAATAGATCATGTATATGCCTTAGTTACAGTGGTGTCATTTTAAGTTGGGTATAGGATAAAAGACATTAGTACAGTTGATCTTAGTTGAAAAAGAGGTATCATACCTTAATTAGCTCTTACTTAATAGCCTATTTTAACAAAATTTCATCCTTTTTGTTAGGAAACCAGAATTATATTTCTGATAAAGTCCAACATAAACTGAATGACAACAAAACTCTAAGAGCCACCAGTGGTATAATCAATAATCAACAGTCATACAAAGCTTTTGTATGATTGAAAAGCTTCTCCCAACCCTCTCCTATACGCATGTAACAGGAGGGGGTGGGGGAGCTTTAAATTTTGTACCCTTTTGCTTGGATGATATATATATTTACGGTTCATCCAAAAAAAAGTAATCAAGACAGCACAATCAACCTGTGAGGTTCCAGTAATCATGTTCTTGATGAAGTCACGTTGTCCAGTGTAGTATTACTTTGTACTCTCAAACTTCCACAGAGCAATATCAATTGTGATACCACGCTCACGCTCAGCCTTGAGTTTGTCAAGAACCAATGCGTACTTGAAGGATCTCTTGTTCATCTCAATTGTCTCCTTCTCGAACCTCTCAATCACACGATTGTCAATACCTCAGCTCCCAGCTTGTAGATCAATTGGCCAATGACCACAATACTGATGTGAATCTTATCTTTACCCATGGTGGATTATGCTCTATCTTTAGTTGAGTGAATGCAGCGGCCGAACAAAGAGAAGAGTATACAAAGCATATCAAATTTCATCGTTGTATTCACATTCATTGCCTTTATTGCTTTGAGTTCTTTTCCAGAAGCTTCATTCGTACCGCAGTCCAGTTACCGGTGAGAGATATGACTCTCATTTCGTACATACACCGGCTTAATTTGGCCTCTCTTTCGAGCTAACCATGGGTTCCAACACTCGTGCATCTCGCTGCAATAATGATGAGAATATCACCATGGAGATCAATGAGATTACCTGAGATCCAAACCAAAAAAGAAAATGAGTGTTTCCAAAAGTAAAAAAGCTAATTGTAGTATTTGGTTTTGAAAACTAAAAGATAATATGTGAGTAGGCAATAGTAAGTTATGAACAATTCATCTTGTAATAATCTGCAAAGTAGGCTATGCGGGGCTCGAACCCACACCATCATGCAAATATGCACACTGCTCTACCAGTTGAGCTAATAGCCTTGATATAAACACTATGTGAAAGCTAAATTAAAACTAAAGAATCAATATTAGAAGCTTAGTGCCAACTGAAGACCAAATAATCAAGACAAATCTGAATTGACTAGTTTAAAGAATCAGGATTGCTAGTTTAAAACAAATCAAAATATGCAATGCCCCCTTGGTAAAGAAAAAGAATCAGGATTCCTAGTTTAACTTTAATTCCAAACTGCAAACAACATTCCACCGTTTTTTATGTTTTCCATCCCAAATGGAGACTTTATAAAAGTAATCTCTTGCAAGTAAAATTAGGATAACCAAATATTGAACCACTATTTCAACAATCATTATAATAAAAATCAAATGACAAAGACTCATTTTATGCTAAATCTCACTCAAAATAATTCAATTCATAAAGTTCCAAGATATATTATTCACAAATCTTTCAGGTGGCCCGAGATATAAAATCGGAGGCTGGCAACTCAATTAGTTCACAAATGCACCAATTTACTTTAAATGCAAATTAATGGATAAATTGATAACCTAGTTAAACTTCAAAGCAACAAACAATTTAACTCAAAAGTATTAAAACTGGCTAGAATTAGTTTTAACAGTATCCAACTCATACTTTCATATAGTTCTAAATTGGCTACCAGTATACTCTTAAATGGGGTTTATTTATACTTTTACAATTGAAACATTTTAACAAGCACTTGCTAGGTATAATGTAAATTCACCAGCTTTGCAAATGACTATATCATTTAAAACGATCTAAAAACAGAATTGGCTAGAGGTTAAAGTCATTTCTCAATTTGAAGGGGGGAAAATTAACAAAAAAGCCATCTCACAGTCGATCTGTGTAGTTGAGTTCCTCAACGATTATTCACGTTGGCTGGCATACTCGATGAAAAATCAGCTCGAACATCTACACATCCTGCCTAGGGATGACTACAAGCACCGTGGTGTTTAAGAGAATGAAGCGAAAAAATCTTACTCCAGATGGAGTCGTCAACAGACCTTGGATTTTTAATAGCTTGAATCATTGTTGGAACATAAAAGGAGAGACAGACAATCCATGGTGGAGAGACGGAGAATCCATGGTGGAGAGACGTAGAATCCATAGCTGAGACCATGAAGGGAAAAACATAGTTACGGAAGTTTTAATCGAAACTTCCATTGAAGAGAGTTTTACGGAAAGAGGGCTAAAGTTTGCGTAAACATAAGACAAGAGAAGGTTTAAAGTTGCTTTGAATTTCAAAAATGCCATTAATGAATAAAGGAACGTTGAACGCATCGAGTGATGCAGAGATCCAACGATGTATATCGCTTCTCATTTTTCAGTTTAAGAGGTACTTCTCATGAGATCTTTTCTCTCTCTCTCTCTATATATATATATGGGGCCCCTCCATTTGGGGGCCTTCCCGGTGGTATTTTTTGCTCAAATTTTTTGTGTATGTTCCTCCTCAAGTCTAGTTCATCCATACCAAATTTCAGAAAAAAAATTCAATCGGGAAAGTCATCAAATCATTTTTGCAAGTTAACTGGTCCGGAAAATACATATTCCGGACCAGTTAACTTGCAAAACTCATTTGACGACCTTCCAGATTGAATTTTTTGCTCAAATTTGGTATGGATGAACTAGACTTGATGAAGAACATACACAAAAAAATTGAGCAAAAAATACCACCAGGAAGACCCCCAAATGGAGGAGGCCGGACAGGGGAGTGGTCCGGCCTGGCTGGACCTGAACATTCGTGTATATATATATACGCACACACATTACTCTGGATGAATCATATCTATGGTATGGTCTGTCTCCATATAAGCGTACCACCTACTGGCTCCACTAAGCGCATCTTAGAACATCTATCTAGAGAGGGGAGGTAAATTAGAAAGTCCAATTTAATCTGGAAAAGTAAAGCAATTCATTACACAACCAACAAAATGTGAAGGGGGTGTTACAACGTGCTACATAAGAAGTATATTACAGCATAATATGTAAAGAAAATATTCCGTTTATGGTACACAACTACTAATATATACAGTAAGGAGTTAAAAACATAAGAGAACAATAAACGAAAATAGCAAGTAGATAGTTGGAAATACCGAGGTCTTTAACATTCAAAAGCTACTCAGTTGCTTCTTTTGGTATACACAATACACAGTATATCAGGCACTTCCAGACATCTCAGTGGACTGAGTGCCATAGGTCCAAAGTTTTCTCATTTCACCTCTAATCATACCCAGCACGACACAAGTTCCTACATCAAATAGAGAAACAAAATTTTTACAAGTGCCCACAAATTTATAATCAAATTATTAATCATATGGATTTGAAAGTACAATACCCAATGTGCAGGGTACAAGGTAGAGGAGGGCAGGTTGACCATGCCCATTCATTAGATACAACCCTAGGTAAGTAAAGCAGAGGCCTGCAACAATCCAAATTTAGTTTGACCATGGAACAGGAAGAAAAAGATACAAATACGAGGCACTGGAGTATTCAGACTTCTCTCCTTGCATGTTTTCTCTTACTAAAACCTTAACCAAACAAACCACTAAGCAAGAATACCTACCGACTCCATATCCAACCATTAGCCAAGGGAAGTATCCATTCAGTAGACCCTTTTGGTTCGCTTTGTCAAACCTGCAAAAACATTAACAATTTATAAACCACGCCACAATGAAGCGTGTGTCGCGATAAATAAGCAATTTGTCCAATTGATGCATTATATTTGAATTTTAATAAGCATGTTCATTAATATTTGAATTTTAATACTCTTATTTTTATACATACATTGTGACATAAAAGGAGACCATAACAGTGAACAATATTCCAGACCCATATCCACTTTATATGTTTTTCGTATTTGCATATGCATTCGGGGTAAGGTATATTTCAAGAGGACTACTCAAGTAGTCGGGTATGAGTACGTGCGTGTGTTCCCCTTTTTCTAAAAACTAAAATTGTTTAGTGTAAAAAATACAAGATAATAGAGGAGAGCATACCTAAAAGCAAAAGAAACTAGCAAGCCAGGGAACAGAATGTCTCCAAACCCAATCATATCATAACCATCCCAAGGATCTGAGAGTCGAGGTACCCTTAGAAGCATTGGGATGGATTCTCCCCCACTTTTGTCACCTTTAGCAACCTACAAAAAGTTGTTAAATATCATCTCTCGGTTGTTGGGCGTTCAGTGGTACCCTCCATGGTAACCATTGAGCCAAGTAATGGGAGAGTAACAGTTTATTCAAGTTGCTAGTTGTTGGACCCAATCACATTATCCTTTTTATTACCAGGAAAACAATGTAAATGATAATGGTTGACCTTAGGTTAATAAGTATTGAAAGAGTTGGGCAAGTTACAAGATACTGTTTTGGTTCTTTTTTAATGATAAGAGGCTGAGAGCTAGAAATCAGGACAAGGATGACTTATAGACTTGCATTCCTTGATAGGGTATTAAAAGAACTTGATCTAGACCACATGATGCTACTACTTTGCTCCTTAATTTACTTACTAGACTTTGTGCCCATTGGGTAGCTCTTTTTCTTATTATCTAGATTTCATAACATCTTTTATCTATCTTATGTTCTTATGTTATTTTTATCTTGTTCATCTTATCTTACCTTATCTTTTTATTTTTATTATCTTTCGTCTCTTTTGACTCAGATATATGGATCGATTGTTAGCCGACCCCGAAATTTTTTGGGATTAAGGCTTGGATGTTGTTGTTATTGTATCTAGATTTCGTACCAACCACAAACTTAATTAATTTTGCAGGGCTGCAGGCTGAAAAGATGCTGCAGAATTTGCACCTTTTTTAGAGAAATGGGTAAAATGCAAGTAAATGACATTCCTCTCTTCCTCTCAAGACATTATTTTCTTTAATTTATTATATAAAAAACCAATTTATTTTTAGATAAAGGGGAGCCTTGGTGCACCTGTTAAGTTGTTGCTGTATCACCGAGAGGTCATGGGTTCAAGTCTTGGGGGTGGCATATTGTCAAAATGACAAGGCAAGGCTTGCCCATGTACACCCTTGTGATGGAATCATTCCCCAAGCCTTGCGGGGATGCCATTATGCACCGGGCTGCCTTTTTTTAATCAAACTTGTTTTAGATAATTCAGTCCACTCAGTAAATCCATCCATTTCATGACAAATTCAGCGTATTCCGCCCATTCAGTCATTTAAAAATCAGGAATGGTTCTAAATTGGAGCAAAACATACACAATATACATAAATAGAAGTAGATATACTTTTAATCCCTAAATAGGAGTAAAATTGTCCAAAAAATCACTTTTACCCCCTTTTTCTACCCTTTCCCAGTCCTCATCTCAAATTATGTTCAGACCCGTCTCTCTCTTGCTCTCCTAACTTTCATAACCCCATCTTCATCTGCCTCTCACAATTGTTTTCCCTGGGAGTTCTCCTGTCTTCTCCAGCATTGAGCCGTTCTTCTTCTGAATCTTTTTGTTCAAATTTTCTTTCATATTTTCTTCTTTTGCCATCTTTCTTTTTTGGTCTCTATCTTGTTTTCTTAACAAAATACTTCTTAAAAGTACACTTTATTCGTAATATAGTTTTTTCAGCTTATAAGAATAAATCCCACTTTTGGTCCTACGATTATTAGAATTATATATCTCACATAAGATTTCACTGTCATTAATTTAACATTGAATTATTTTATCGTGTTCCAATTATTATTGTCACATTTTGCTACGCATTGTCATAATTCAAGCAATGGACTTTTTTACATTGGAGTTAAGATTGGGATATTATTGGTAGTGAACTCAACATTGTCACCTTTTTTGTAACATTGGTATTACTTGGGGCTTAAAACATTGACAATATTTAAAAAAAGAAATGTTTACACTGACAATTTTTATTTAATTTGTTATTTATTCCAGATTTGCAATGCCACAATGGTGAACATGTATTGTAAGAAGTGCAATTTTTGCAACTTTGATATTTTTTTTCCCTTAGGATATGGCACTGATCATAAAAATAACAGTGTACAATCTTATTGGCTAGAGGTCCACGACACACCATCAAGAGGTGGTCACCGGAGATATGACGGTGACCACCGGACATTGGGGTGGTCAAGGTCTCATAGCAGTAGGTCTGCTGACATTTGTTGCTAGAACCAGCAGCATTAGACTAAAGGACTATATGGGTGAATGGGGATACCTTTGTCACTTCATCAAATTTTTGTCCTATTTCGGTGAATAAGTTTAAGGACTCCTATTCAAGTAGTTGAGCTATGTTTTAGTCCTATACGAGTCTTCTTCCACTTCAAAATATTGACCAAATTTTACTCCTATCAAACATGCTCACACTCTTACATTGTAGTGGATGCTAAAGCGAGAAAAATCGGGTAATATTAGTAACATTTCTACTGTTGAAGAGGACACTTGATGAGTACAGAGCTAAAAACCTACGGATTTGGTATGACATAATTGTTGTCTAATTTCTCCAATACATTGGAAAATCAGTAAACATTTTAGAACCAGCTCAAAAAGCATTAGCCCATGTTGAATAACTATGAAAATCCCAACTTTATTATCAACTTTTGATAACAAAAAACTTATCTATCTAATATGTGAAAAGTAAATGGCTCATCATCATCAACATCATTACCCCAGTGCCGCAAAGGCTCCCACCTACGGTGGGGTAAGGGGGGTCGGATGTACGCAGCCTTACCCCTGTACTAAAACACAAAGAGGCTGTTTCCGGATGACCCATTGAAAAGTAAATGGCTAAATGAACCAATTCTTACCGCAATCATAACGCTGTCGTGGAATATTAGAGGTGATAGGAACACCCAAAAAATGTCGTACATGAATGCAGAACACAGTAGTACCGTAGCAACCTAGAACAAATTCAATTATCAAATAAATGGCACATATAGGTCTACACTTACTTCTACCCACATAATGAAGTACCTTAATATTGGTAAAGACATGCTCACTTTAATGAATAATTGGTAATTCGTCCCATAAAAGAGCGGAATGTTTCAAGATCTTTTTTCGTCCAAACAAAAAGTTAGGTTTCAAAAGTCAACTTTCATTTTTAATTTAAATTCCTATACAGCCAAGAAGCAGGCAGGTTAGTCAAGTACTCCAGACAATGATGAAAATAAGTTTGAGGGGTATGAGTGACCATTTATAGCTTGTAAAGCTTGTGCCTTGACTAAGTTGACTGAAAATATGTTGTACCTTACTCAAACAGTCAAACACGCCTCTTTTTTGGGACGGGAAAAGTTTATTAGATATAGTTCTATGCACATAATGAAGTACCTTTATATTGGGTAACTGAGCCATCTGCAGGACGGTTATCATTAGACCTATGCCCTGGAAACAAGAATAGTCAACTGTAATACATACAATCACTTCAAAAGAAGCATTAAGTCATGCAGGGATGTACAATAATTTGACACAAGTATAAGCATGGACTAAAAGAGGCATATCGCCTAAATATCACAGACCATTATAATTCAAAATAAGATTTGATTATTTGAACAATGGGTGTGGTTGTATCCCCCAAAAAGGCAGAACAATTTAAGGCAGCTGATAAAACTAAATTTAAAATCAAACTTACAAGAATATCTTGGCCAATCCAAGAGTATGATTCTTTCCTGTTTGCAGCCCAAAATATGGCAAAAGCCGTGCAGAGTAACAACACCGCAAGAGATAAAATGGATGTTTCCCCCAGAAGAGGCAAATTTACTGTCTTCCTTGCACAAGTTTTACATTTACTGCCCATAAGATATGAACAAATGAGAATCTGAATTGTAGAAGGTACCATTATGTACGTAAAACAAAATATTTAGTTTAAGCAATAAGGATGTTTTTACTTGGACTGTAATTTGGTGGTCTGGTCTGGTAATGTCTGGTTTCTTTGTGTTTTTATAACTATCCAAGTTTGGTCTGGTCCGGGACAGATTACAGTCCAAGTAAAAACATCCTAAGTTAAAATAAAGCAATACTAATTACCTTGATATAAGTGTTACTATACAATTGTGCATTCCCTGAGATGAAAAGTAGGTAGTAAAAAACTTGTCAATTCATTACATCTTAAATATGATATTTTAAAACGAAGAAGAAAAGTTTGCTTATCCTCCCCCACTCAAATCTGTATACAAAAAAATCTACAGATGGCACCATCGAAATACTTGGGAATCATGTAACGACATATCATAGGAATATAGGATGATGTCTCATCGTTTCATCATCATCATAATGACCACCACCTTAATCCCAAGTCATACTAAGTTGGGTAGGAAAATTGTTTAATGTGTCAATAATTGTGTAAAATCAAATAAAACAAAAAGTCATCATGTCGAGTGAGTCAATGTTCGACAACGGACACCTTGTGTGTCGCAACCTTACACTTGAACTTAAAATATCATAAGATGGTGATGCGTTGAGATAGTTAATATCATGGGATGGTGAACACAACCAAAGTTTTTAGAACTACGTATGAACCACTTATGAAAGAAAAAACTTTTTCTTTTGAGTTTCTTTGAAGACATTAAGACATTATGAATCCTCATCCTCATCACTTATACCACAATCCCAACCTTGTTGTTGCGGGGGCATGAAAATAATAGTGTCACTTAACTGTCTAGATTATTAACAAAGTAAATTTATGTAAAATCATTCTCTTGAAGTTTTACAACGCATGCTCTTCCTGTCAGGCGGTCACAACTTTCTTAAGAAGGAATAGTTAGATGAAGTTTCAAGTTTCAACACCGTCATAATCATATGTTTTTCCAATCCCATAAGAACCTTCATTACACCATGATAAGTTGAGTTAATTACTATAACCATGTCCATTGCAAAAAAAATGGGTTTGAAATATCAACTTTTACAGCAAGGAACATGACCGAAAAGACGTTAATAAGTAACACTGGCTATTTTGTTTTTTAATTCATTATGATTGCATATGCACATAGAAATATGTGAAAAATAAGGGTGAACTGACCCTAGTACATTTTGGAAAATATGCGAGCTTAGCCTAAACTCAAGAAAGAAAATTATAGTTCTTGGACGTTATATCAGAGTATCAATAAATAGAAATTAAAGCAAGGAGGAAAACCTCCAACGCTTTGAAAACCAGAGGGGTTTCTTTATAAGCTAGTCATAAATGAAAAAGACAATTACACTTGGCATTGGAATCTAAAAAAAAAGGCAAGAATCAATACCTCAACTCCACCGATGCAGAAAAGTATTATCAGCACCCACACAAACCAAGAAGACATGAAGAGATATAGTAGCACCAGAAAAGTGGAGGCTGAAATGACAAAGACTATGGCACTTTTTGCATTAATTTTGAGTATTTCATCACCTTCATCTTTTGCTGCTCCTGCGGATTCCTAAAGATAATTCATCAAAAAAAGATCATCAACATAAGTAGTGATATACATGCATGAAACATTTGATGTACTAACAAAACTTAGATATTTCAGCTACATTACGTATTGATATATAATTGTACAACTACAACTATTCTCTTTTGACACATAATCAATGATGGGAAAAAAGAGATCATGTTCAAACTTGACAAAGAAAGAGCATTCATAACTTAATGGCACATGACAAATTATGCTCATTTACTAGGGAAATTCGTGAAGAAAAGATCAAAAACCAACTAGCATGTTCCCTAAATGATTTAAACCCCATGTATTATATCCCCTAATTGATACTTATAGAACTTAACCCTTTCATGTCTTATACTCCATACTTATTAGAACTTCCTTGTTCATATATTAGTAAAGAGAGATAATAATCACAGGCCCCAGAGGCTAGAGAAGCACCATAAAGACGTCTTTCCAAGGGACACTACCTGCCCCCAGCCAAAAAAATGATGCTTATTGATATTCAAGACAGCTTTCAAAACCTTTCAAGAAACAACTTAATCTCCCACTTCTTCAACGTCATACATACCAAAACTAAATTGGGCATCAAAGGACAACTGACGCCTACATAAAAGTTTTATGATAAAACTATTGATTGACATTGGACTACTTCAACTCAGAGTTACACAATGGTCTTGGGTCCAGTTGGTATCTGGAGACCCCAAGTTCAATAGGATATCAAGTATATTATCAGGATTAGGAGTGACATAATATTCCTTGGATTTCTTCCACATTTTGTTCTCTTTTCTGTGTGATGACCTTTATTAAAAAATATATTTCGAGCCACTCAAAGCCCATGACATGCATATCTTATTCTCAAAGCAACCTTATGGACAGAATGGCAAAACCCAAATACACAATGTCATTCCTCCTCTGACTGCACAAAGTTAAAGTGGGTTACAGAATACACATCCACTCATGGGCTCCCCAAGTCCACAACCATTCACACAATTACACCTAGATCGGCTAGGTTCAGAAGAACATCGTCTATGATCTATCAAACAGTACTTTAAGATGCTAACTTTAGCACATCACTCTATCACTTTTTGGTCTTTAAAAAAAAGTTTTATGCTGGAAAAGGTTCTCATTGACTCTCCTAAAAAACGGATTCAGCTCCGCCTCATTCTTATTTCACATCTTTCAGAATAACCATCACAAGAGTAGGCTACTCTTGTGAAATGCAGACAAATAACAAGCAGGCTGGAACACTGGTAGATCACTGGTAATTACTACTTAGAATTATAGAGAATCAGTAAGAAATTGATGAAGAAAGATATCAAGAAAGTGTTTATTGATGAACGGCTTGTTTACGGAAGAAATACAATGGGCTATTCGAGATGCCCAGTCTCCTAGCCTAGCCAAAGCCAACAGAATACTTGCCTCCCTTATTTGCCTCCCCTTCCCTTTCTATTTATAGTACAAGCCCATTTATTAATATCTACAATAATAGGCTCATTCCTATCATTACTCCCCCTCTAAACAACCACCTTGTCCTCAAGGTGGGTGATAGGAATCAGCCATGATCTTCCACTTCCCCTTCATTCTTGCTCCTCTCCCCTCCCAATACGTGACTGGTTTCTGGACTTTTAGCTTCGGTACTTGAATCTTTTTCCATATGTACTTCATAGCAGGAAGAAACAGAAGCAAGAACATGGTGGCATAATGCTCCTTATTGTTGTAAAGGTTATAACATCCCAACATCAGCATCTTTCCTTGTAACCTTGGTTTTCCTTCCAACATCTTTTCCAGGAACTTGATTCTTTCAGATTCTGCTGCAACACAGAAAACAGAAATTTGTGGTTTTAAAGATAATTCCACAAGGTACTCTATCTTGGGAATATTCATTTCAGCAGCCTGGATAGTGTAATCCAGATTCACATTGGTTCCACCCCATTGGTATTCTGAATTAAAGCCAATAACATCACCATGATTCTTAAAATTGTCAACAGCACCAATCTCTTTTATTTCATCAACCTTTTCTTCAACACTGCTACCAAAAGCAAAATTATCGGTCCCTTTCAGACCCATATCTGAGGAGTCCAAGGATAGAAGCACGACAGTCATATGTTCATTAGCATCCCTTATGTTCTTTCGAACTGAATGTCCAACGTAGGCCAAATTTTTATCCCTGTACCATCTGTCTTCCTCAGAAAGCACTCCTAAAGAATTCCTGACTTTACATCTATATTTTCTAAGAATAACTTCGGTGAACAAGAATTCACTGCTCTCATTTATTACCTGATTTAGTTTCCTATTGTCCTTGCTTTTTCCATCCATATGTACGAGAGTAAGAGAAGCAAAAGAACTAGGAAATTTTCTTATCAACCCTGCAACAGAACAAATTTCAGGAATATAAACCTGAATAACCGATGATTTTTCCTGGCGTTCATCTTCACTTTTGTTGAGCTTAGATGTATTTTCGTCAAATTGCTTCAAATTCATTTCGTTAGAAGGAAGTGGCCGTCGACTCACATAATCCGGAGGAGGCGATGTAGCAGATTTTGAACTGCGAGGGGCGGTTTGCGACTAAACCTGCGCCCTCGGATGCTTGGCTAGCGACTGCAAAGTGGAGACTTCTGATTGCGATACAGTATGCGAACTGAGAGAAGTCGTTCGCATCTGCGAAGTAGGAGAAACACGAGAAACACGAGGACACCTGCGGACGACTGAGAGAAACGGTTTGCGATGACGATCGGTGATGAGAAACAGTTCTTGGCGAAACCAGAGAAGTCGAAGGATTTTCTCGCGAATGAGAAGAAACCTGCGCACTCGACGAGGTTTGTGAACTAGACAAAACTGTTCGCGATTGCGACACGGTCTGCGCACTTGGTGATACTCTGGGAGAATTAGTTTGCATCTGCGAACTGAAGGACGTTGTTGACGAACGCGATCGCCTTCTCCCCTGAAATTGTTCGTTCATCGCATCTAGCTGTCTGTCCATGTTTTCCAGCATCGTTATTATCATGTCTGCTAAAGTCTTCTTCATGGATGTCTGCTTCTTCTCTAGCGAATCCATCCTATTCTCCAGCGAATCCATCTTCTCCTCCATGCTTGGTGTATAGACTTCTTCCATCATACAGGTAGTTAATGTTCTCAATCGATTCAAGTCCTCTGCCACCAGGAAGTTAGTGATTTGATACCAATGGTAGATAACTGGTAATTACCACTTAGAATTATAGAGAATCAGTAAGAAATTGATGAAGAAAGATATCAAGAAAGTGTTTATTGATAAACGACTTGTTTAGGAAAGAAATACAATGGGCTATTCGAGATGCCCAGTCTCCTAGCCTAGCCAAAGCCAACAGAATACTTGCCTCCCTTATTTGCCTCCCCTTCCCTTTCTATTTATAGTACATGCCCATTTATTAATATCTACAATAATAGGCCCACTTATTTTTATCTACAATAATAGGCCCATTCCTATCAAACACATAGTTAAATGGTTCAAAAAGTCAAAAGTAACAATTTGACCAAAATCTGGAACTGAGAGATGGTGAAGGAACATAGATCAGTTAAAACTTAAAAACAATTATTAAGCTACAAAAAATGATATTATTCCAGATTTCCAGATATCACTTTCAGGTTAAAGGTACCCACAATAATTGTGAGTGTAGATTGTAAAATCTCATAACGATTCAAGTATATCAGAAGACACCATTCTGATGATCACAGGAAGGAAAAAATGTTCATTAGCCGTGACCTCCTTGAGGTTTGACTTATTATCACGAAGACCCTCGCGCTATGATAAATAGGCACTCACCTTCCTTTACGGGAGGTAAGTGACACACTTTCTAGGGTCTATGCATACATTTTCATATGTGCAGGGGTACTTATGTGTATAATATAAAATCATAGGGCGCAAGGTGCCTATTTGTGCAAAGGTATTATGATAATAAGACAAACCTTGAGGAGGTCAACGATAATAACCCATTAAAAATGAGACAAATAATGGATTTATTTGTAGAACCTTGGAAGATAGTTGGTAGTCATCAATCGCCTTGGATGCAGTAATTTTTGACCAAATAGATGCACAAAAAACAGTTCCAACAGCCATCAACCATAAGAATATTACTGAGTAATCCAAAATGGGGCGATCTGGCGCATACAAAAGCAGGTGCACTACAAGAAAAAATTGAAAAATAGTTTTATGAATTATTCGATGAAAATGTTTAGATTACTCACATTAGACAATGGGTTATTATCTTAAAGATTTATGTTTGTAAGTACTGGTACTGCAAAAAATAGTTGTACATGTCCAAGCTTACAAATACCGAACACGTATAAATATTAGTCATATGCCATCCACTAGAATTTGGAGTAACATATTACATAGTATATTAAAAACATCAGGTACATCATATGCAATTAGTTGTAGTGACCATGATAATTGAACATGCACTCCTACCAGAAGTACAGAAGCATTAAAAAGAACTGTGAAGATTCCCAAAGAACTAGCCTATTAAGGCTATTATAGTCTAGTACAAAATTATACTCCAACCTTTCACAAACTAAACCTAAGCAGAAATAACAAGTCAAATTTATATGTTTAAGATCTCTCAAGGGTCCTCCAATTGGTATTCATTCTTCTCCCTTATTCATTTGTCTTATTCTTTTTGCATATTCTTATTTTATTCAAATAAAAAAGATTCAGATCAGACTGAAAACATTTAGATGAGATCAAAAAAATTCAGACATGATTTACTATTTTTATAGCCTGTTTGGTAACACTGGAATTAGCTGCATCGACTGATTCTGCTGCAATTTATGAAGTTCTGGCTAAAGTGGTTAGATTGGTTGATTCTGCTTACTTATGAAAAAAAATATTAAAATATACTACCTCCATCCCATTTTAGTTAACCATCTTTGACTTTTCAGAGAATAAGATAAAAAGATTTTGGACAGATTAGAAACATTCATATCAAATTATACCAAAAAAAATCAGATCAAATCAAATCAAAACGATTCAGATCAAATCAAATCAGACCAGAAAAAATTCATATCATACCAGATCTTGAAATATTCTGATCATAAATATTCAAGTCAGGCAAGCATAACAACTTCTTAAAAATTCACTGTCTCTTAAGGGTTCCTCCATTTTAAATTTGTTCATCCACAAACGGGCAAAAGAGGTTATAACCCCCTCAACAAGTAAATGAGAGTGAAAGGGACAAAAATACCAAGAGTGGAATAACAATTTTAAAAGGTACCCATCTCCGGGGAAACTACTGTTTACCTATGTTTCCAGCATCCATGAATTTCCGAATTATGTCTCCTCTAGATTTAGATATCATCACCACTGGTATTTTTATTTGGACATCCTCATTTCCAGAACAACCCATCTCTACTAGAGCTGCAGGAAGAAAAGAAATAGCTTATTTCCCAATTGAACTTCACACAGTATAATTAGAAAGTAAGGAGTATAATATTTCAGCAAAGTTAACACTGAGCAAATAAAAAAACTCGAACCTTCATCCTCATTTATTATCACAATGCCTTCAGCACCTCCTCCTTGCGCAACTTTAGCCTTTGTTAAAAAATCACATTCACCACGCATAGCTAATGCCATAGCACCCGATAACTACAAGACATCAATAGATCTTTAAGTCGCCAAATGACCAAGTCCCGGCAATAAAAACTTAACATTAATACAATTCAATTGAATTCATATTTTGTTTATTGGAGACAAGAAAGTGTAAGAAAAATTACCAGCTTAACTCTGAGTCCAAGTCTAAAATTTGGTTATTAACTTAAATTTCCAAAATATCTATGTTCTAGAGAGTGCAGAGGCCATTAGCAAGGTATCTGACTCAACCACATAGGAATATTGTTCTGTATTCATGACTACAAAAATAATTCGAAGATGTAGAGTTCATTTCAATACATTACATATTATAGCTCTAAAGAATCTTCATAGTCACTACAATGAACCCCATTCAATATACAGGTATAAAGGAGTGTTTGTGGTTGCTTCTTTAAAAAGTACTCCGTAATTTTTTATGTGCTTTTAGAGAAAGTGTGATAGGACCTGATGGATTCAATGGGAAATAGAGAAAGAGGATTGGGAAATTCACAGAATCTGAATAAATTTCCCAAATGTTTCAGTCCGTATGGAGAGGACCAGACTCCTTACAAAATGATAATGCTTATAAAATATGACCTATCCCTTACGTAGCTAATCAGGAAGTATTTATAATAATTATAAAGTAATGGAGTAGTGGGTTACAGGTTATGCCCATAACCACTTCCACTAATGACTGAAAAATAGCCACAACTTCAACTGCCTTCCAAGAGCAGTTTCTTCCTGCGGGAATAAGTCTTCAGTGGTCTATCAGTACTCCCCCCCTGAAAAGTCACCTTGTCCTCAAGGTGGAAAGAAGGGAACTGCCCGGAGAGTAAGTCATAGTCCTCCCAGGTTGCTTCTTCAAGAGGCCGGCCTGCCCATTGCACCAGCAACTCTAAATTAGAACTAGTAACCCATCTGTGAGAGAGGACTTTTTCAGGTTGTAGCACATACTCCCAGTCAGTAGATATAGGAAGAGCTGCGGGTGGAACCGAAGGGGACTGTCCATAAGCAGGACGCAACAAAGACACATGAAAGATTGGATGGATTTTGCAATCTTCAGGAAGAGCCAACTCGTAAGCAACTGGACCCACGCGACGAACAATTGAATATGGCCCAAAGAAACGAGGGGACAATTTTTCAAACCGTCGTTTGGACAAAGAACGTTGACGGAAAGGTTGAATCCGGAGGAAAACAGCATCTCCTACCTCAAAAGACAGCTCCCGTCGTTTAGAGTCAGCTTGAGCCTTCATCCGGCATTGAGCTTTTTGGAGATTTTCCCTAAGGAGTTTTAGCATAGCATCACGAGACAGTAATTGTTCCTCCAGATCAGCATTGTTTGTTTCTCCTGGCACAAAAGGGTGTAGAACAGGCGGGTCCCGTCCATAGAGTATCTTGAATGGAGTGGTTCCCGTGGAAGAGTGGAAACCAGTGTTAAAAGAGTACTCAGCCCACGCCAGGTACTTGCTCCAGGAGGAGGGGCGCTCATGAGCAAAGCAGCGCAGGTAAGACTCAAGAGTGCGATTCACCACCTCCGTTTGCCCGTCAGATTGGGGGTGGTAGGCTGTACCCATGCGCAACCGGGTCCGACTAAGTCGGAACAATTCCTGCCAAAAATGACTCAGAAAAACAGGATCTCGATCAGATATGATAGAGCGTGGAAGCCCATGTAGACGTACAATTTCCCTGCAAAAAGAGGTAGCCACAGATTTAGCCGTAAATTGATGAGACAATGGCACAAAGTGGCAATATTTGCTGAATCTGTCCACCACTACGAGAATTGTGTCAAAACCTCCCGATTTCGGTAACCCAGTGATAAAATCAAGCGATATGTCCTCCCAAACACGATCAGGAAGTGGGATCGGTTGGAGTAGACCTGCTGGTGCCAGCGTCTCATATTTATTTCGTTGGCATACCAAACAGTTCTGAACGTAGTGTTTGACATCTTGCTTCAAGTTGGGCCAGAAGAAACTCTCAGATGCACGCTTCAATGTTTTCAGGAAACCACCATGTCCACCAGTGAGGGTATCATGACACTCAGATAGAATTTTTTGGCGAAGTGATGAAGTTCCCGGGATCACCAACCGCCCCTTGTAGAAAAGTCTCCCTTCCACCAAGGAATAATCACGGCAAGTAGTAAGATTCTGTTGAATTGATGAGATAATATCTTTAGTAACCGGATCTTGCATCAGTTCATCATGCAGAGTCATCAAGTCCATGTTCACGGGTAATGCCAGAGTAAGCAATTCAGCATGGTGTGCTTTCCGCGACAAGGCATCTGCTCCCTGATTGTCCTTCCCCTTCTTATAAATGATAGTGAAATTGAAGGGAAGTAGCTTTATGAGAAGGCGCTGCTGGGTATCCGATGTCAGACGTTGATCCAGCAGAAACTTCAAACTGCAGTGATCAGTTTTGACAAAGAAATGTCGCCCCAGTAAATAATGCTTCCATTTTTGCAAGGCTAAGACAACAGCAAGTAACTCCCGGTCATATGTGGACTTCAACCGATTAGAAGAAGAAAACCCCTTACTAAAATAAGAGACCGGGTGATCTGACTGGAGCAGAATAGCTCCAACCCCTGCAGTTGACGCATCACATTCCACTGTAAAGGGCAAGGTGAAGTCGGGTAACTTCAAAACAGGAGCAGAAGTTAATGCCATCTTTAGGCTCTGAAATGCTCTCTCTGCAATTGGACTCCAAAGGAAAGCATTTCTTTTCGTAAGTTCGGTGAGTGGTCTGGCAAGTATCCCATAGTCTTTGACAAAGCGGCGGTAGTACCCCGTCAACCCTAGGAATCCTCTCAACTCCTTGACATTCTGAGGAACCTGCCAATTCAGAACGGTTTGGACTTTCTCTGTCTCCATATCGACTCCATCACTGGACACTATATGCCCCAAGTACAGAATACGTTGCTGGCCGAATGAACACTTCTTGGCATTGGCATAAAATTGATGAACCCGTAGGAGATCAAAGACAATCCGTAAATGACCTAAGTGGTCCTCATGGTTTTTGCTGTACACCAGGATATCATCGAAAAACACTAGAACAAATTTTCGAAGATAGGGACGGAAAAGGTCGTTCATAGTGGATTGAAAGGTAGAGGGTGCATTCATCAACCCGAAAGGCATGACAAGGAATTCATAATGTCCGGAGTGAGTACGGAAAGCAGTTTTGGGAATATCCACTGGGTTCATTCTGATTTGGAAATAGCCAGACTTCAAGTCAATTTTCGAGAATATTGTGGCCCCATGAAGTGCATCCAAGAGGTCGTCAATATTGGGAATGGGGTACTTAGTCGGAACAGTTTGTTGGTTCAGTTTCCTATAATCCACACAGAACCGTGTAGTGCCATCTTTCTTGAATGCTAGTATTGCCGGGCTAGCAAAGGGGCTGGTGCTGGGTTGAATGAACCCTGTAGCCAGTAGGGTCTCTACATGGTTATCAATCTCTGTTTTCTGATCAGAGGTGTATCGGTATGGTCTAATATTTGGGGGAACAGAATTTGGATATAGATGAATGGAATGAGTTTGGGTTCGAAAAGGTGGTAAAGTGGTAACATCAGAAAAAACGTCCCGATATTCGGATAATAGGGACTGAACCTGGGTTGGGGCAGAAGTGTTTCCAGAATCCATTTGAACCCTGGAGAGACTTTGGAGTGATACCTCTTGTTTACTGGTAGATGGAATCCCTTGCAGTTTATACCTCTTCCCACCTAGGTAGAAAATCATAAACATTTCCTTCCAATTAGCTTGCACCGTATTTAGTGAAGCCAACCACTTTATTCCCAACACAACATCGGCTCCTCCGAGTGAGAAAGGAAAATAATCTTGTGTAATCTTCAGTCCCGGTAAGGTAACTGAAACATCACGGCAGATTTTATTGCACCTGATCACATCTCCGTTCCCGATCTCAACACCGAAAGTTGAAACCCCCTCTTCTTTGATCCCCAATTCCTCAACCAGTGATGTTGAGATGAAATTATGTGTAGACCCACTATCAATGAGGATTAGGACTTCCCTGTTTAAGAGGGATCCCCGAAGTTTCATGGTGGCCCCTGTTGACTTTCCGAGAATAGCATGGAAAGATATTTCAGCCATGTCCTGTAGGTTCTCTTCTCCACTCAGTTCACTGCCAACCTCTTCCTCCTGCTTTACCTCTTCCCTGCTGTCCGTGAGCTCCAACAGGGAAAAAGTAGGAGTCTTGCACCTATGCCCAGGGCCAAATTTTTCATTGCACCGAAAACAGAGTCCCTTGCCGCGCCGGAGTTGTCTTTCTGCTTCCCAAGATCGATTCGCCGTTACCGGAGCAGCTGTCGCATAACCTCCTTGCGGCGGAAGTGTTGCTGCTTTGGTGTCACGATGTTGTGTAGGTGTGGATTGACCCGTCCTGCTGTTTGAGAAGTAAGATGGTTTGCTTGGACCTTTATTTGGGCTGAGTTTGGATTCAAACTGTAGTGCGAGACTCATGGCCTGGTAGACAGTTCTGGGCTTATGGATCCTGACATCTGCTTTTAGGTCTTCTTTCAGGCCGTTGATAAAAACGCCAAGAAGACAGTGTTCAGGCCAATCGTGGACTCTGGACACCCTTCGTGAAAACTCTTGCCTGTATTCTTGGATGGAACCCGATTGTCTGATATTGCACAAATATTCATCTGGATTCTGGAATTCTGCTGGCCCAAAATTTTCTTGCAATAATTTCACCAATTCTTCCCAATATAGTATGGATTCCTCACCGTTCATCCAGGCGAACACGTCAAGAGCTTCGCCCTCCAAAGACATGGAAGCGATTTCGACCTTTTGATTGTCCGGCACCTGGTAATAACGGAAATATTTTTCCGCTTTGAGGATCCACCCTCGCGGATCACCACCATCAAATTTCGGAAAATCCACCTTCGCATAGGGTCTGCGATTCAAGTTTGGCGGCCATCCCGAATTCATCTCTTCATCTGCGATATCCCCCCACGGCACTCGTGTTCTCTCATGGAATCTTGCGTGACTTTCTTTCTCCTTGCCTCTGCCCGACCCTTCAGGCTGGCCGTCGCTACGCTGGGCTTTGAGAGCCGCCACATCAGCTGCTAAGGCATCAAGGGTTTGCAACCGTGAAGCAATAGAAGTTAACTGTTGAATCACATCGAGGTTGGGTTCAACAGGAGAATTTCCTGATTGGTGGTGCTGATCGGTCTGTGACCTGGTGGAAACCATTAGGATCTAACCTGTCTCTGATACCAAAATGATAAGACCTGATGGATTCAATGGGAAATAGAGAAAGAGGATTGGGAAATTCACAGAATCTGAATAAATTTCCCAAATGTTTCAGTCCGTATGGAGAGGACCAGACTCCTTACAAAATGATAATGCTTATAAAATATGACCTATCCCTTACGTAGCTAATCAGGAAGTATTTATAATAATTATAAAGTAATGGAGTAGTGGGTTACAGGTTATGCCCATAACCACTTCCACTAATGACTGAAAAATAGCCACAACTTCAACTGCCTTCCAAGAGCAGTTTCTTCCTGCGGGAATAAGTCTTCAGTGGTCTATCAAAGTGCTTAACATTAAAAGTTTGTAGTGTTTGAAAAAGTGATTTTTGAAAAAGTAAAAGTTATTATGTGTTTGATAAAATAAGTACTTTTTGAGTTTTTGTGTAATACAAAAAAGTGAAAGGTAGTTTAAAACACACGTCCACCTGCATCCAACCTTTAGCTTTAAAGTGTTTAATGTAACCCGAAATTGTCACTCGAAGACACCAATTTCTGCCTTTTAAGCAAAAAACCGAAAAACATTTTTTAATATGTTGCAAACACTCCCTAAGTTGCAGGTGACAGAAATACATAAATTTCTTTGAGTTGATAGCACGATAAATTAGTAGTGCTAAGCTGACATTATTTAAATAAGCAAGGAGACAATATTTAAATAAGCACGACATTACTTCTACAAGAAAATGGGAATTGAACTACACAGCATTTTTAAACGGTAAATAACTTTAAATAATACTAACTATTAACCATACACCACTAATAATACGTACTTTGGAAATAATTTTTAATAATACCAATGATTTCAATGTATAACAAAAATAATATGGAGCTACTTTCCGACTAAAAATCCAGTCATTTAAGATTTTAAGACATCAAAATCTGATATTAAACTATCAAATAAAGGTTATTTTGAAACATTTTGGACTTCCAAAATAGGGCTGACATATTTTTATTGCTTCAATGGGAGTAATTATTGCCAAACTTGAAAAATACTTTCATGTTTAAAGTCTGGTAATACCAAAACATGGTTGTAATTATTACTCCCTCCGTCCCAATTTGTAAGAAACTTTACGGTTTACGATGAAAACACATTGATCCCTGTCAACACTCAAATTAGTTTTAAAAAATAAAATTTACAGATTCAGAAACTACATTAAGACCTCTACAAAGCCTGCAAAAATAATTCAAATTTCATAAAATATTGATATATAAAGTAAAAGATTAATAGTGATCTATGTTGACCAAGTGAATAGGGAATGTATCTTACAAATTGGGACTGAGGGAGTACTATTTAGGAAATAAAAACATGACTTTATATTTTGGAATTCACAAGCTTTTTTACTCCTATTCAGGGCAATTTCTTTATTTTAAAATGAGAACTCTTACTCGATATTTTGATATAAGTTTATGATGAGTTAAAATTGTTAAGTGACTAAATTTCTAGTGGAAAATAGCCTTGTATCACGTTTGTTACATATTCAGATAATTGATATTATTGAATATTATGTCCTAAGTGTGTACAATTCTTGGTTTATGGGTGATAGCTGATACTCCCTCCGTCCCATTTTACATGTCGTACTTTCCTTTTAGAGTTGTCCCAAAATAAGTATCATATTTCCTTTTTGGAAAGAAATGTGTGGTTCACAACATTTCACTTTGTTATACTCAAACCTCAACCACATGTTTTACTTTTTCAACCACTTATTAATAATTGTGTCAAACCAAAACAAGACACATAAAATCGGACAGAGGTAGTATTGTGTAAAGTTATTTTCCCTTTTTTACTATATATTTGCTATATGAAACCATCTATCCTTGATTTTCAAATATGTGTGATAATAAACTTGCATATAATAAGGATATCGCCCAAGACACCAAATTTGTACATAGTAGATAATAAACTACGAACACACAAATTTGCATATATTCTACCATTATCATCTCTCCTTTTCTTTCTTAATAATCCAAATCAGGGTTCAATTACCAAACTTGGATAAACTTGCATATATTCTATCATTATCATCTCTCCTATTCTTTTTAATAATCCACATCAGATTCGAGTTGCCAAAGTTCTCCTGTCTAATTTACAGGCTTGCATTTCACCCATGATGGCCCTTGTTATGTCCTTCTATCCAATCTGATTGTAGACCTATCGCAAACCTTTTTTCCTATCACCATCTGACCTCAAAAACATAGGATGAGTGGATGACAACTCCAGAAAGGTAACTGTGCCTCATACCCTCCCAACTTTTATTAGTTCCATATGAATAACCTGATATGACAGGTGCTCATATTACTGATACCCATTCCCTCATGTTATCTACTTTTGACCCTATCAAGTTTCTAATGTAAACCATAGCATGTTGTTAAGGTACTCCCACTAAACCCCAGAATACATGCAGAAATGTGTACAGCAACCCCCCCCCCCCCCCCAACGACTGTTAAACTGCTTTTTCGAATTGAGCAATCCCTTTCTATGATAAACACCTTTGTAATTAACAAACACTTCATAGTAACTACTTGAACAAAATCAAAGAAGCAACAAAACCAAACTCTATGTATTAGATAACTGAAATAACATTTCTAGATCGGTGTAAGCATACTTTCGGAGAGATACTGGAACAGCAATTCAAAGGGTTTGTGTAAGAAGCACGCAATTTGACACCCTTTTTTTCCTCAGTAGGTAAAAGTGTGCCAAATGCTGCACTAAGTCCCCCTATTTCTTCCCCTTCTGCGCCATTCAACCATGTCTTGATTTTAACCTGCATAAACATGGGGTCAGAAGAAAATAATATGTTTTCTGCTAAGTATACCAATAACACCTTTTTGCTTCATTAATTCATTAACCCTTCCACGGTTCCACCATCCAGTGCAAGTCCCTCCAGGAAAGGAGAATCTTACAATGAAAAACAAATTATTTCATTCATAATAACTGTATTATGGGTAAAAATTATTTAGTTTTCTGGATTCTGACAGTTCCAGTGCCAGTTGGTCCTTCTCCCCCTCTTAAAGCATCCTGATTCCTGACTCCCATGGTCTGTGGATATTGAAAATGATATCGAACCTCCATCTTCTCTATTAACTCATAACTTTTCTAATTATCACTCTGCATTTCCGAAGTACAATGTAAAAGTCATATTAACTCATATCTTTTCTCATATTATGGATTTCCAAATCCAAAGGTCAATGGAACAAGGGTTACTAATATTGTTAATTTGACAATTCCATAGCTCAAAGGAACATTCATAAATGGGCGGAGCTGGATCCATACTAGTCCCTCGCCCACCCCGGATTAAAAAAAAAATGCTTTAAATATTAGTGTAAAAAATATATGTTAAAATTTCCCAACAAAACCTTTGTACCAGCCAGTCCAGTTTGGACCCCTAACTACGCCACCGTTTCAGAATCGAGCTCGAAAGCTTCTAGCAGTCAAGTGACTTATTCTTACCTAATGTCCAGTATAGTAGAGCTTATGATTGTGAGAAATTGAAAAAATCATAATCCACCATTTGTTAATTGATGTGTCACTATCTTAAATAAGCTAAGAAGTGTTAGGCAATCTATAATGCAGTATTTTTCAAACGTGTGAAAGGCACATAACTAAACTATATTATCAATAATCTATTAGGGATCATTTTGGATAAAAACCATATGTTAGACTTTAGATATAAAAGATTCTCAACATGCTCAAAACAACTTATGTAGTTATATAGGCTGTGTTCAAACAAACCTCTGGAAATCTATGCTTAAGTTTCTTGATATAAGGCTATCAAAATCTTGAAATAGTTCACGGACATAAGGTCAAGCTATATTTACAAAACGCATGAGCTATACACATTAAGCAAACCACAACCCACCTCTCCAGAAGAGAAAAAAGCCCTCTTGAATTATTAAATGTGCTATATCATCCCCCCATTCCGCTATCAATGTGTTATAGATGTATTAATGTATAATGTCATTGAATGAAGACCACTCGAATCCCTCTATGGCTGTATATCCCAAGACAGAAACACATAGAGAGCAAGACCAAAATAGTAATGCTAATAACTCCTGCCATGTATCAACATAGGTGACAACTTTGAATATGTAATGCAGCCATCCAGCAGTAGCCAAATCAATTATTCCAAGATTAACACTAGCTTTTTTCCAATTCGTTAAGTCAAACATCAATATATGAATACTTCCATCAAACTCTACAACCTAATCTACCAAATTAAGCACCTTTAAATACACACACGCAAAATGCAAACGCGGAAAAGCGCGTGTGCGAAATGAGGAAATACTCAGGCGGTGGAAAATCAATGGGAGAAAAAGGATATACCAATGTGAATGGATTGTTGCAGGTAGCAGACACGTTAGGGGAGGCGTGTGAAACATCATCGTCTGCGGCGCCGGCTGTTGCTGAAATACAAATGACGGAGACAATGATCCCCAATCCGAAAATGGACCGATAAATTTCCATACTTCAGATCGATCTTGTCTCCTTTCTAAATTTCTTCTCTTAATCCCCCCCTATTTCTTCTGCTTTATTCTTCCCTTCGCGATATCTACATATTCATGAAGGAAACGGAAAGAGAAGTCTGTATAGGAGCATCTCCACCCTTTCCACGTCAATGAACAGGTTAGTTTTGGAAATTCAAGCTACAGGCCTACAGCAACTAACCGTGTGTCTATGAGAGAGCTTTTTTTTTTTTTTTTTGAAATAAACTTTTTTTAATTATAACACACGTAATTCAGAACATGTAATTTTTTTTTAAAAAAAAAGATGTGTGTATGAATAATCTTTTTTCAAAATTCCAACAAATTGCTATACTTTTTTTGAGGCACGAGTCTTTATTGTCAAAACATATTATGATGTTAATGACTAATTTTAGCAATTAATGATTAAAAAATTGCTCTAAAAACCTTCCACGGTTGAGTTTTCATAATTTTATTTTTACTCTTTTATACTACGTATTCGATATTGATGCTATATGAGAGATCATAAAAATTGAAGTACGAATAAAAAGTTGTGTTACTTTAATGATAGGTTTTTACTTTTGCATATCACCACATTTTCTATCATTTTGTCGCAATCAAGTGCATCTCACTCATTCGTCAATATGACGATGAATACTCACCCCAAAAGTGCCCAACCCCACTTTGGCACCCTTGTATACTTTGGGTTGGACATGTTTTTGGGGTGAAAAGCTCAAATATGATCATAATTTTTTAATATTCAATGCGACAGTGTGTGTAGAATCACGCGCTCAAAGTTGATTCCTCTCAATTGTAGATGTTTTGACATTTTTTAGATGTGTGCAAGCTATTTTTATTCCACATTGCGCGCATGGGCTGGTTACCATGTTGATATTCTTTCTACAACTATTCAAAGTCACTATAAGTCTTTGATGTGCTCATATTTTACACACTTTTTAAACTTAGTTTGTTGTTAATTTTAGTTATTAAAGTTCTACTTTTGTACATATTTTTATTATTTGTCTTTAGTTTGTATTAGTGCAGTTCTATACGGGTATTTTATATTTTCAGGTACATTTAACGCTATTTGGATACATTTGAGTGTGAAGAAAAGAATGAAATAAAAATTCAAGTTGGAGGTCAATAAAAATGGAATTTCCTTGAAAGCAAATAAGGAGTAAATTGAAGAAAGGAAGCAAAACTAAGAAAAAATAGAGGTGTGATTCGAACTCTGATTTGAGGATTGAAAGTAGACATGCTCAACCGGCGGGCTGAGTGAAAATGTTATAATAGTTGAGATGGACCTTGATCCTATTGCATCTTATCGCAGCAAGGAAAAGAAAAAAATAGAAGTCACAGAACGGGCTTGAACCCACGCCCTACATGTTCACAACTGCTCTCTTTCCCGCTGCACTAATTCTACTCTTGAGGACGTATTGCGGTTAAGCTTTATTATACTTTTCTGTTCCGTAAATTCCAGCAATTAATGATTAATCATCTTATCATTATAAGGCTTAATCCATCTCCTTCCACACATAATCTCGATCCAACTTCTCTCTACACCTCCCAGAATCATTTTCTCCTCCTCTCTTCATTCTTCACTTCCAAATCATCAACCCATCTTCAACCACAACTAATCACTTTCTCATTCAAGATTAAGTCAAGATTAGCACCAAACTCCAAGGATTATCATCTATCACAAGTTTGATTTTCCTTATCTCTTTAAATCTTGTACTTTAATCATGAATTCATCTATTTCTAAGCTTCCAAACATGTATAGCTAAATAAATTTGGGGCTAGAAATTGGTTAATTAATTGTTCTTATCATGTTTTAATTTGTATTGATTTTAATTGTTAAGTTTGTTCTATTTAGATTGTTGTGTCCAGAAAATTAATTAAGTTATGTTTGTGATATATATTATGAGTACTCAATCATAAACATATTGTTTGTTAAATACACAAATGAACACTTTCTGAACACACCGTTAAACTTCTTTTACCTTGTCCCGGATTGAAGTTTTACGGGGGAATTTAATTATTTAATTATATTATTTACACCACGGGGTTGGGTAAATAATATAGTTAATAATTAAGGTTGTCGTTGCACTTAAACAACTAGTCTCGTTTTGGCCATCACTGGGAAATGTTGACTAGTTACTTATTTTAGATGACTTGTGTTGTGTCCTAAAATATTTATCTACAACTTCTCACAATCTATCTAAGAATAAAATTAGCAATTATGTCTCTCAATTAAACATTGAACAATTAGTTACCAATTTCTACCCCTACTTACTATTTGTTGAACTTTGTGTTGATAGAAATCTCCCATCTCAATCACTTTTATTTTATTACTTTTCCAAGCAACCAAAAAAAAACGCATTCTCAACTTTAATCCTTAGTTTGTGCGTAATTATTTTATTTCTCGCTTCTCTGTGGTTCGACACCCTACTTCCTTGGGTAAAAAAATAGTTGTGTGCCCATTATATGTACACACCAGTCTTTCATTCATAAAGTAGTGACTAAAAAATATAATCACAAATGCATTCCCCATGACACCATTCAATCATACAATGAAAAATGATTTCAACATGCACAAAAATATGTTAAAAGGCTGACTTGTCATTTCGGTGTGAAATTGTAATATATATGTTGAAATATTGACTTATCACTTGGTATGAAATTGTAATCTTAAAAGCCGCATCTTTATGTGAAAGTAATGAAATAGGAAAACAACAGAGAAAATTCTTAAAAGAGTGAATAAGAAGAGGGGAGATGGAGAAAAGAAAGAGAAAGAACACATTATCCGCGCATGGATTAGTGGTAGGAGAAAGTCTAATTAAAATAATATTCATGTCCTATTTTATGTCTTCTTTTCTTTTGGCATTGTCCAATATAAGTGTTATATTTTCTTTTTTGGAAAAAAATGTGTTCCACATCATTGTACTTTATTATATTCAAATAACTACAACGAATTTTATTTTTTCAATTGTTATATTAATAATTGGCCAAATCAAAACAAGACACATAAAATGGCACGAAAATGGTAGAAGATAATGAATTTGATATTAATAGTACATTTCAATAATGTATGATAAATTTTATTCATCAGACATTGTTACTAATTTTGGTAAAATATATCTGAACAATTGAACTATAAAAGATATAATTGAAGAATTGAACTACTCGCAGTGGAGAAATCATTCAATTTAACATCTAATGTGCTCTAATATGCAAATATAATTGAACAAAGAGGAGATCGCAAGTTCGAATCTCATCCCAATCAAGGATGTTTGCATTAAAAAGAGCAGATATTATAATAGGTTTAGAAGAATGTTCCAAAAAAACACATGCTCCTAAGTTCTACCATGCTTTACAAATAATTCATAACTATAAGAGCTACACACAAGGCCACAATGGCCTTATAATATTTTTTGTTAGAATTGTTGTTTTAAACCAAATCGTGGGGTTTGCCGGTTTGGTTTTGTGCTTTCTCTTCTCCTCCCCCACCCCACCTAGGCCCTAGCCTGCTTACACCCCATGTGCCCATTGTTGAATGGGATTAAATTGGACCTTGGATCTGATAATATTCCGTGACAATAACCTCACTTGGCCACTCATTTTAAGCTGAAGCATGATAAAAAAAACATACTGAAGTTTTAACAAAGAAGAAATTAAGATATAAAACCATACATATAGGCATATAACACGTCACTCAAAGATAGCATTCGGCGGCATTCGAGCATGGAGTGTGAATAATATGCAGTCCTTAATTTAGATGAGGAAGCAATGAGCTTCTGAATTTTCATGACAAACAGAAAGTTGCATCTCATATGCACTCAAATACTCAATCATGAATCATTATCAATTTTTCTTGAGCAGGCTTCCATTTTGATCTCTTCATGTTAGTGAAAATAGGAGGAGCCATTTTTATCAAGTTATCAACATGAAGCAGTAAATTACCATTGTAATAGCCCTTACAAAATAAATTGCTTACAAATTAATGAAAAGTAATATCAAAAGGCAAATAGATAACTCATTGTAAAGCATGATAGCTCACTTTTTGAATTTCACGTACAAATTCTGGTTCTCTGTGCAGCATAGTTTATAAATCTTAACAGCTAACAATAAGACATTAAATGCCTATTTCGAATACACTGACTAGCAAAATTGCAAACCACACCTCTTATGAAACAATAACAGCATATCTAGTGGCGCTTTCCACGGCCACCCTTCTTGCCCTTGTTCTTATTGCCCCCTTTTTTCTTCATACCTTTGTAAGGAGCAAACTTTTTCTCATCAGGGACAGCTGTCGACGTAGATGGTTTGAACAGACCTTTTACATCGAGCACGCCATTCCTGAACCGACCTTCACTTGATTTTAGTACCCTGTCCTCAGGGTTGCGCCTTTGAGTTTCTCTTCTAGAGCTGCATCCGTGATTTATCCCAAATCGCCTAAGAACTAAACTCTACACAAACAAATAGTTAACACCCACAATTTTTGGAAATTTGAAAAGAAATCAAACACCAGACAAGTGCCACCGCCCCCAGTTATTTTTGTTTATCAAACAAAGCTAATATCCCATGTAACTAGCCAAAAATGAGTCACCAAGAGATTATGTTAGCAAAAGCAACAAATAAATCTAAATATACATGTGTGATTGATTTTAGGGAAAAGGTGCAAATAGGCCCATGTACTAATCAAAAAAGGTCAAATAAGCCCTTATTTAGGAGGCTCTGTCCGGCCGTCGTCATTTGGGGTGGTTTCCGGTGGAATTTTTTGATGAAATTTTTTGAGCATCTTATTCATCAAGTCTAGTTTACTCATACCAAATTTCAGCTAAAACTTTAATCGGGAAGACATTCAAATGAATTCTTGAAGATAACTGCGCTTCTAACTTCAACTTGTATAGTTCTCCTGTTAAGTATTCTATAGGCTTTGCTTGAACTT